CAATAATTTTAATATAATTTTGGGTGTATTTCTGTTGAGAATGCTGAGAAATCACCCTCTTTGACATTTAAATGTAATATTATTTTTTAATTTAAGCCATGCACATTAATTTTAAAACAGCAAAAAATAATCTGATTTGCCTTTGAAAAGTCAAAAAAACACTTGAAAAAGCTGCTAGAACCCAGTACAACTCAAGTTTGGAATGCCTTGTCATTTTTTTACTAGACCCAGGCTCTCTCACATATCGTGGACGTGCAACCTGTCAGAACCCCTAAAATGTTGCATCTTTACATCTACTGATTGTAAATTGTCTTGTTAGGGTGGCAAACAACCAATCATGACTTCAGCTGATAAATGTACATATGAAGTATTCTGGGAGACAGAGTATGCATGTCCGCAYAATAAACAAATGTCAAACAACAGCTGCATTTTGTCCAACAATTTTGTAGATTTTGATCTRAGACCACTGCAAAAACRAGATGGTCACAACTACAGGGTCCAGGATAAGAAGTACACGTACTATATCAATGTCTGCAAGTCTACAAGTATACCTAATTGTGCTCCTTCAGGTAAACTACTTGTGCACATTGTAAAGATGAAATTATTATAAATGGAATCATAAAATTGGAGMTTGATTCAATTTTTAAATATAATATGGCTGTCATCATGAATGCTATTGTCAATTCAGTAAGAAACTGTGGGATGCCGAGGATGTTATGAATAAYTTTGTAGTGCCATGTACAGAGAAAGTAGGTTTMGGGATTTATTCTATATAAAAATGTGTGCTTTTGCACATCCTTGGACAACCCATAATTTCTTAAATTTAAGATGGAAACCATTTTAGTTAGTAAAAAGGTCTGTTAAATAGACTTAATAAAGGGTGGGTCAARCACAATTCTTTGATTAAGAAAGAAGMACAAACGAATGTTCTGCTGAACTATTTGATGGAATTTGATTAGTTTGACTRACTTATTACAGGATACAGTGCATCTGTTTGCCAGGAAATTCCTGACACAAACCAAGTCTATTCACTTGGTGTTTACAACCAGCAGAAGCTTTCATACATTGATGGTCAGTTAGTGTTGAAGTATATGGGTGGCAAGGCCTGTAGCAGTGGCTTCAAGAGAGAGTCATTTATAACATTCAAGTGTAACCCAACTATTGGACAAGGGGCACCAGTTTTTGCTGGTGAACTGAGTCATTGTGCTTATTTCTTTGAATGGGAAACAAAGTATGCATGTCCACCATCACGTCGCACAGGTATATGTACTATTAGAACCTGGTTGACTTAGATTAGATGCTGGACGTTATCCTTGTAGACAGCGAAGCTTGGAGTCATTTATATTAAACTAGACGCTGGACGTTATCCTTGTAGACAGCGAAGCTTGGAGTCATTTATATACAACTAGATCTACACTCAACAGCTTCGTCCACATATTTAGTTTTTTCTATCTGCTTACTATTGCTAACTGTAACTTAAAATAGCTAACTATAATTTATTGAAATAACAGAAAGGGTAGCATAATTTATTGAAGACAATTAGCCACTCAACCATACCAGCACAACATGTTAAAATTTGATGGCTTTATGAATGTTGAAACATGTCTAGTATAAATTTAAAAGTTTTGTTGTTTTTTAAATTCATAATCAACATGTTATTTGTCTCGATACATTAACTGTAAAGGAGGTAGTCCATGGATTGCTTGTAGAATGTTACCACAGGGAATTCAATTGAGAACTAATTTTCAATATTTTTTCATTGGCATGTGTTTGTAGGATCTGCATGCAGAGCAACCAGAAATGGGACTAACTATGACCTTACAGAACTGATCAGCTCTAATGGCACTGATTGGTTAGTCATTGATGGTGAAAACAGCAATTCAACTAYAATGATTTACATCAATGTCTGTGGTCGACTAAACAYACAAGCAGCTACATCCAAATGTAATATCAACTCTGCCGCATGCTTGATTGACAAGAAAGATGGRACTGTTAAAGACCTTGGCCATTARCTTTCTGCACCAGTTTTAAACCCTGATAACTCACTGACTCTGAATTATACTGGAGGTGATCAGTGCATTAATGGAGTTCTTCGAAGAACTGTTGTCACATTTGTTTGTTCCCATGGTGATCTCACCAGTCCCCCAGTACTAGTCAGCCATTCAGCTGATGACTGCACCTATACCATCATGTGGAAGACTGGTATGAACTCATCACTTTAAATCAATTTAACAGGGATTTATTTTTTGCACATTCAGTTGATCATGTATTTAATTTGTTAATTCATTAAATGAACACATCGTATTATTCTGCCACTCATTCCTGTATTTCTAATCATTTTGTTCCTTTTCTTGATGTATTTCATAATTCAGATGATTGTGTCAAAAATTATGCACAGAAAAATCATGTGAGACTGTAAATTATTGTAACACAGGCAACTGCTTATTTTMATAAGAATAGGTCACTGGCTGTAATGATATTTTTGTGATGTTTCAGCTGTTGCTTGTCCACTTGGTCTGAACCAAGGTGATAATTGTAAAGTTGAGGACAAGTCAGCAGGATATGTATTTGATCTTAATGGAATGCAAGGCAATGTCCTCGGTCACAACTACACAACGACTAGATATGACAAGTACACATACTATCTGAAGGTAAGAGTGACATGATGTTTGACMTGTTTTTTCTTCATGAATAAGTATTGAATGTTAATAAATTGTTTTATAGATTTGCAAGAATATTTCTGATTCATCAATCAAAGATTGTGCTAATTCTGGGGCTTGTCAAGGCGATCCGAGCAGCAAAGATCACAAATTTCGCAATATTGGTGTAGCAAATAGTAAACTCTTTTACTATGATGGTATACTGAAACTAATGTACAGCAATGGTGAAGCTTGTCATAGCGGACAGAAAAGACAGACGCATATTACATTTATTTGTTCTCCTCATGCCCCTATGCAAGGGGCTGGGAGGCCTGAGTTTGTACATGAAGACCATTGTATTTACCATTTTAGATGGCCTACCAAGTTTGCTTGTCCAGCTCAGGTTAGTCTCTACTGTAAAAGGTTACAGAAAAGGTTACAAAACTGCTTAGTGGAATCCCGGGCCACCCACCTAATACGCGACGGCCACCCACCTAATACGGCTAACCATCTAACACGGCCAACTACCTAACTCTAAGGCCAACCACCTTATACGGCCACCCACCTACTACGGCCACCCACCTACTACGGCCACCCACCTACTACGGCCAACCACCTAATGACCAGATTGTGATGTCATGGCCTATAAAACCGTGATAATTTTGATGAGTTAGAGTCAATTTCGTATGAGTGGGAAACGGACGGTAACCATAATATCGTACTGTAACCATAATATCGTACTGTAACCGTAATATCGTACTGTAACCGTAATATCGTACTGTAACCGTAATATCGTACTGTAACCGTAATATCGTACTGTAACCGTAATATCGTACTGTAACCGTAATATCGTACTGTAACCGTAATATCGTACTGTAACCGTAATATCGTACTGTAACCGTAATATCGTACTGTAACCGTAATATCGTACTGTAACCGTAATATCGTACTGTAACCGTAATATCGTACTGTAACCGTAATATCGTACTGTAACCGTAATATCGTACTGTAACCGTAATATCGTACTGTAACCGTAATATCGTACTGTAACCGTAATATCGTACTGTAACCGTAATATCGTACTGTAACCGTAATATCGTACTGTAACCGTAATATCGTACTGTAACCGTAATATCGTACTGTAACC